AGAAGATTTGTCATATTCATGAGTTGGGACAATCACTTTGTGACCAGAATCAAGAAGAGGAATTTCTATGGTTACCTGAAAGCAATGGCAAATTTTCCTTAGCTTCAGCTTTCCAGCAGATTAGGAGAACCTCGAGTGCTACCTTCTCCTTTCGCTATGCCTGGAATAAACATCAACATCTTCAAGTTCAGATTTTTCAATGGAAGATTCTCAACAGTATCCTACCATTCCCAGAGAGCTTAAGCAGGTTCATGATGACAGTTTACCCTACCATGTGTCCATTTTGTAAGCAAGAATCAAAATCTATGAACCATGTTCTTCTCAATTGTTCCTTTTCTTGGAATATCTGGAAATATTTTTTAGGAATACTGGAAATTCCATTTCCTATCAGGCCTATGACTATGAGACAAATGCTTATCACATGGTGGCTTCAAGCAGGATCTAAAACCATATTAGATGTTTTCAAAAATAATATGGCAGGAATTATTTCTTGGCACATTTGGAAACTCTACTGTAAGATCCGATGGGGTGGGGAAGATGATATTCCTAATTATCAAAGTATTATTCGCCAAATCAAATCATTTACGCAGATTTGGTCGGAAGCTAAGCTGATTAAGCTTAAATTAGGAAACCCTACTTCGACTCTTTTTGAAGAACATCTTTTGCCCCTATTCTTTAAGATAAGAAAGCGGAGGATTAAGGTTGTTAAATGGAAGTTACCTTCTCTTGACTTCAAACTTAACATTGATGCTTCATATTCTTCAGATTTTGCAGCTGGAAGAGCGGTGATACGATCTTGATCAGGTGATTTTGTGCTGGCTTTTCATTTTCCTATTTTAGCAAGCTCGGTGATGGAAGCAGAACTTAGGGCGGTTCATTCTTCGGTTTCTTGGGCGATTAACAACGGGTATCACTCGCTTGAGGTTGAGACAGATTCAAAGGTGGTTGCTGATGAAATTTTGAAAGGAGATTTGGGAGGAAGATGGAAGCCGATGGTTGGAGATCTAAGAAGATGGATGGGTGACTATCACATTTCCTTCACACATATACTTCGAGATATAAATTGGCCGGCTCATTATCTATCCAAGTTATGTGGTGAGGATTTTCTCATTTTTCATAATATCAGCCAGGTCCCAAATTATATTAGACGATCCCTGATTGCAGATAGATTGGGTTTGAGCTACTTTAGAATTTATTGATTTTTGCTGATTGGGTTAGGACGGGTTTCCTAACCCGGTATGTCTCGTTTTTGTTATTTTGGGTTAGTTTATGTCTTAATTTCGTTGTCTTTTGCTCTTTTTTCCTTTCTGGAGAGGTATTGATTTGGTCCCCCTCTCTGATGTATTCCATCTCATCTTAATAAAATCTGGTAAATGTCTCCCGGCATTTACCCCACTGGATGCGGTGGTTTGCCTTCCGGGATTAAAAAAAAAACATCATGTAACTATCCTGCCTAATTAATACGTAATAATCTATAAGTAATACATTTCAAAGAAACAATTTAGGAAACGTTTGCCACATACATGTCATTTTGTCAACAATTCTATTCCACAACAATTTCAAATCAAATACTCCATACGTAGATTATACTTGTTGATATATTATTAGAGCCCCACAAAATTAAATCTCATTTTTATTTTAAAGTGTTATAACTTTTTTATATGTACTTTGATTGTTACAAAAAGTATATTGAAATTTGTAAGTTTTTATTATCTTTCATATGACACAAATATTAAGTATATAAAAATAAAAATTAATTTAACACTTTAAAAAATATTTGTTTTTAATAGTGCTATATCTTTTTTATTTTAATCTGATTTTTACAAAAAATATATCAAAACTCATACCTCTTTACTGTTTTTTATACAACATCAATGTTGCATATATAAAAGTAAGAAAAACTAATTCTATTCATTTTTCAATTTGAATCATTTTTTACAATGCACACAATTATGGAGTGATAACTTAGAATAAAACTGCACAAACCCCATCTATCACTTTTATATACTTTTTTATTCTTTGCACTAGAATTTGCGCATTTTTATTCTAAGCCCTCACTGCGATTAATCGTTTGCATGGTAAAAAACGATATAAACTGCACAAATTAATAGATTTCTTTATATATGCAACATTGATGTCATATGAAAATTTCTATATACTCCGTATAAGAATTATATATACTTTTAAAATTTCCATAATTAAGAATTATTTTTAAAATTTTAAAAGTAATATTCTGAGTAATACTTTGTAATACATATACGGTGTGATATATAATGAGTAATAAAAAGCTATCATAAATTAACTCTAGGTACATGTATTCCAAATGTAAAACACGTCTATTGTTGAAGGAAATTACTTTAATGTGCATTCATTGTAGTTAGAAAGTGTATCTGGGGTTTATATGTATTAAGCTAATTGACCCATGCCAGCTTGTAAAACCCTAATCCCTCCTATTTAAGGGGGCTTACTGATGGGGGTTTAATGCACCAAACCCCCCTGTGATATGGAAATTCGGCGCATTAGTCCCATGTGATTTAAAAAATGTGTCAAACCCCCTTCTGTTTTAATTAATTATGCGCCAAATCCCTTTTGTGGACAAATTAAACTGTCAAATAAAAGAAAAATGATTAACATTTTTGTATGATTCGGAGATTTTGACATTTTACTTGTATATCCAATCAAAACATTAGGAAAAGTGATTTCCAAATCGTTAAATTTATTCATAAAAGGGATTCCGTGCACGATTTATTAAACCCCAAGGAGATTTGACGCATTTTTCAAATCACAGAGGGCTAATGTGCTGACTTTCTATATAATGAGGGGGTTTGATGCATTAAACTCTACTCATGAAATGAAAACACATTTCACTTCAATTCCCTACAACATGTTAACCATCGTAGCCGACCTCTGTAGCCCTCGGCTCTCTCCTCTCTATAATTATAAACCCACGACAAAAGGCACACTTCAAGGTATCTCAAGAATCTGAGTATTTTTCAATTTTTGGTAAAAATCCATGTGATTTTATTATTGATAGATGTCAAATAGTCATGCTTTGTAATTTGTCTTCAACTGGAGGAGGAGACAACTGCATTGAATGCGCGTACTGTGGAGTTGATCGGTTGGACCCGCATATTTGGCAGGTTTCTATTTTTGTATAATATTCTCCAGGAATCTCAGTCAATCATCTGCAATTACTCCACAGCGTATCAGGCTCATTAAATGAGCATTAAATGCTTTCCTTTGATGAAATATCTTCTAGCCGTTAGGAAATTTCACGTTAGTTATACGGCCGTTGAAACGTAGCATCGAATTCTTCTAAGTGTTTGGTGTCTGATGGGAATCTCTTATTAGCAGTTCTCAAGTCGGGCTCTGATGGTTATCTGATAACTATATGAGGGCAGCTCTGACAGCAGCTCTGATGATTCCTCTGATCAGCAGCTCTGCAGGCAACTCTCATAGCTGGTTAAAGGAGCAACTCTGCTAGCACTTCTCATGGAGCAGTTCTCCTGGCAGTTCTGATGCTTCTCTGAGGAGCAACTCTCATGGAGCATTTCTCCTGGCAGCTCGGATGCTTCTCTGAGGAGCAACTCTCATGGAGCAGTTCTCCTAGTAACTCTGATCTGAAGTATCAAGAGGATCTCTGGCCCGTCGACTATGCTAATACTTACAATGAAAAATTCTAAAACAAAATTTCTATAAGGGGTACTTTAAAATTCTAATCTATCCTAGCATCATCAAAATCTAATTACATTAATTCCTTACATTAACCATTCTGATCCCCTAGAACGAAACCTCTTCTTAATTCTGCTAGTGTAGCATGGATCCCATTCATACTTTCTCTACAGTTAATCATAGGCAAAGTTTATTAGTTTTTTTTAAATTAAACACATATTTCTAAATATTTAAGACTACAGAAAATGTACCTCAAACAACCGCCACCACCGTTCTTGTTGGTCTGCATCCGCATGCTTGAAAGAGTGTCACGGCCCATGGAAGTTGTTCGTAATGACTGAAATGATAGAGTTCAGAACAATAGGGTTGCTACACATGAAATGTGGAAACATTTGCTACACGTACGTATTTAAGTAAAATGAAATTCGATATACAATTAAACAATTAATCAAACCTGCGCATTTCATAGGGCAAGATCCAGATTTTGGACCCATTCTGGAACGACTCATGGGCAGTATGATCAGACGGTTCATCATGCAATGCTCTAGATTGAACAGATTCAAGGGAAGCAACAACAAGAAAATTCGGGTTTAGGCTTTGGGTTTGGTCGACTGAGCCTCCACGACCTCCCCTACCTCCCAGCCCTCCCCGCCCTCGCCTGAATGAATTATTCAAGATCATGCGACGTCGAAAACTCAAGTAAAAATCATTCAAGTAAAAATCATTGATTGAACATACTTCCTCTAGCAGCAGACATGCGACGTCAAAAACTCAAGTAAAAATCATTCAAGATCATAACAGACTGGTACTTATACAGACTGAACAATGAATGAAGTATAACAAACTTATACAATGAAATGAGTTCATAGAGTCAAGGCTTAACAGACTATTATACTTCATTGATTGAACATACTTATCATACAGACTGAACAATGAATGAAGTATGACAGACTTATACAATGAATTCGGTTCATAGATTCAAGACTTAACAGACTAGTATACTACATTCATTTAACATACTTATCATACAGACTAATAAATCATTGAAGTATAACAACCTTATAAAATAAACTCAGTTCATACATTCAAGCATTAACAGACCAATATACTTCATTGATTAAACATACTTATCATACAGACTGAACAATGAATGAAGTGTAATAAACTTGTACAATGAAATCAGTTCATAGATTCAAGGCTTAACGGACTAGTATACTTCATTCATTTAACATACTTATCATACAGACTGATAAATCATTGAAGTTTAACAGCTTTATACAATAAAATCAGTTCATACATGCAAGCATTAACAGACCAATATACTTCATTGATTGAACATACTTATCATACAGACTGAACAATGAATGAAGTGTAACAAAATTATACAATAAAATCAGTTCATAGATCCAAGGCTTAACGGACTAGTACACTTCATTCATTTAACATACTAATCATACAGACTGATAATGTCACGCCCCGGACCTCCCCGGACACGTCAACAACCCGCCGTACGATACGAATAGTCAACCGCAGTCCAACACATTCATATTATACAAGGCGTCATGAATATCATTCACACATAAGTCATCCATAAACATACATAATAAACAATTGAATACGCAGCGGAAAACATTGTTTAAAACAAAAGGGCCACACAGGGCAAACATGAGCACGCAGGCTCTAAAGTAAATATCCATGAGCAAGTTTAATATTATTTAAAAACAGAATGGAGGAAGCACGAACCAAGTCTTCTCTCCAAGGAATCACTCGATCAACGAGCACAGGAAGCAAGCTCTAGCCTCAACCTGAAATGGTGGTGGGACGCCCCCGAAGGGGTCAGTACTCTATACGGCTATAAAGTACTGGTGTGGCAGGCATCTAATAGATATACAACAAGTATTTCAAACACAAGACCCTCAAGTAGGGTGATAGTACATTATGATTGTAACCCTAAGTTACCCCGTTTAAAAATATACTTACTTTATATAAAAGTCAAGTAGTCGGCCCGTGGGCCCGTTTTCATTTGGAAATCACCATTCCCAACCCCGTGACTATAAGCCACGACAACTCCTAGAGTCCAACCCTAGTACATGACATTGTATTCTAGAGCTCGGCTCTACCACATCACCATACAATTCATATACCTCGGGTCAATTTCCCTACCTTGCGTTCTAGAGCTCGGCTCTATCACATCACCACGCAAGTCCTAGAGCTCGGCTCTAGCTATACAATACATAGACTCCAAGTCTACACCTTACATGCATTCTAGAGCTCGGCTCTATCACATCACCATGCATTAAGGTCCAATTCTCAAGCAACCCTATGCCTAGAATTGACATATCATTAAATTACCATGGGTCATCCTTAAAGACTCCCCATAACTTAACCTTAGTTCCATACTAAGTTATCATATACACTTGAACTACATTCAAGTACCTTTCATACAATCCAATCCCTAGGATCAATTTAATCAACAAGTTCCAATAATCACTAACTAGTATTCCAATACTATTAAGATTATTGTTATCGTACCATTATCCTCATTGTTTGTAATTCTCTACATATTTATAATTATGTAGCAGCAACTTAAGTATTCAATCTCAATACACAAATATTCATTTATGTATCCACATGATTCATACATGAGCAAAATGCCCATTTTCACAAAATAGTTCATTTATACTCATTTAATCTCATATTATTCATACTTTCTCAAATCATTCCAAATTCATTCTTTGGCAACTATATCAATATTTCATCAATATATAGTCATCATAATCCATGAAAAATCATGATTTAAGCATTTAGGTAATCTCATGCTTAACCTACAAGTTGTAAGCAATTAGATGTCAATCCTCACCTCAATTGAGCTTTAAACTTTCCCTTCTTGGTCCAATGGTCAAATCTTTGGTCAAGGTGGATTTGGGACTGATTCCTTGCTCAAATATGAGTGTTAAACAGCCTCCTCAAAGTGCTAGTTCAACCCTTAATCGTTGATACGAAAACAGCCCCTAGAACGGGTGTTTTCCGGCTAACTCGATTCCTAGTTTTCCAATATTTGCATCTAGGTTAGTATCTAACCTTTACATCAATAAGATAACTTTTTAGGGACATATTATACACTTGGATTAGTGTATAATAGTCTCACCAATCGTTCATATCATTTGGAGAATGAAAAGTAAAGCTTTGGGGTTAAAACTCACTTTAGAAGATTAAATCCTCTCCTGCGAGGTTGTGTTTTGCTCGGACGATTTGGAAGCCTTCCACAACTCCGATTCCTGCAAACCAGACCTTCACGGATTCCTCGTCTTGAGATCTTTCTGTGGGTATCTCACACGCCTTAATTGGACTTGTAAAACTCGAGATATCGACCAAACAGTCTCAGCACTCTCACAGCTCGAGTTCACAGACCTTTGCTCGTTCCAGCTCGATTTTTGCAAGATAAGCCTTCTCTCCTCGAACAAAGACCACTCAATTGAGATAATAGACTTCAAAGGCTATCCAAGGACACCTCATACACGTTATTTGGTTGAGGATAGCTCCTATAATGAGAGGAGACAAACAGCACACCAATTTGTGCGAAAATAAGAGTGGTGGCCCCAAACTTTGATTCTTATCAAGTCATGTGCAGCTCTTCTCCATAATGGCCGGCCAAGGTAAGTCTCCTAACCCATTTTTATTTGTTTTGCAGGTACTAATACCATGTGGAGTGGTTCCCAATTGATCCCATTAAATTTGGGGTCCAAAATATCTACCAATACTTCCAAAAAATGGGAAGATGGGTCCTATTGTTTTATCTTTGTCAAAGATGTCTTTTTGTACTCATCCTAATTTATTTAGAACAAGTCAACTTCCTAAATCACATTATTGATCTCCAATATGTGTAGGCTCATCCCAATAATTTACACGATGAAAATTACAAAAGAATGCGGGTTTGAACAATACAATATTCAATCATGTACTTCGTAAAATATTAATCGTTTCTCCCATTGTTTTGAAATTGGAAATTCAATACATCACTTTTGAATTTTTAAATCGAATTTTCAAGGACGTTCGGGTGCGGTGTCACAAGTTCACCCCCCCTTAACAGGAATTTCGTCCCCGAAATTCACAGCTCTACTCGAATAGGAAAGCATACTGCTTCCTCATCAAAGCCTCCGTTTCCCATGTCTCTTCCTCGACCCGATCGCTCTTCCACAGGACTTTAACCATTGGGACTTCTTTGCTCCTCAGCTTCTTCACCTTTCTATCGGTGACCTTGATAGGTTGAACAGCGTAGTTCAAATCCTCACGTACCTCTACAGGTGGCTTCTCTAGTACGTGAGAGGGATCATGCACATACTTCTTAAGCATGGATACATGAAACACATTATGTATCTTCTCTAACTCAGGAGTCAACTGTAGACGATATGCAACGGCCCCAATCCTCTCTATAATTCTGAATGGACCTATATATCGTGGGTTAAGTTTTCCTCGGGTTTGGAACCGAATGATCCCTTTCCAAGGAGAAACTTTCAAGAATACCTCGTCATCAACCTTAAACTCTAAGGTTCTTCGACGCTTATCTGCATAACTCTTTTGTCTATCCTGAGCCGCCTTGAGTCTCTCTCGAATCAACTTCACCTTTGATTTGGTGACCTCAACCAACTCAGTACCCTCGAGTTTGGCCATGCCAACCTCGTCCCAGCATAACGGTGTACGGCACCTCCTCCCATACAATGCCTCGTATGGAGGCATGCCGATGCTTGCCTGATAACTGTTGTTATAGGCAAACTCCACAAGTGCTAAGTGGTTGTCCCAACTTCCCTGGAACTCCAATGCACAAGCCCTCAGCATGTCTTCTAGGATCTGAATAACCCTTTCAGACTGCCCATCCGTCTGTGGATGGAAAGCAGTGCTGAACTTCAACTTCGTTCCCATAGACTCCTGGAATTTCGGCCAAAAACGTGATGTGAATCGTGGGTCTCTATCAGATACAATGGTCACCGGGACCCCATGCAGCCTCACGATCTCATCCGTATACAATTTGGCTAACCTCTCAAGTGGGTAGGTAGTGTTGATAGGCAAGAAGTGTGCACTCTTTGTGAGCCTATCCACAACGACCCAAACCGCGTCATAGTTCCTGATAGTCCGTGGTAAGCCTACCACGAAATCCATAGTCACGTGCTCCCACTTCCATTCAGGGATGGAGAGTGGTTGCAATAAGCCTGCTGGGTGCTGATGTTCTGCCTTAACTTGTTGACAAGTAAGGCACCGACTGATGTACTCGGCTATTTCCCTCTTCATTCCAGACCACCAGTAACTTTCCTTCAAATCACGGTACATTTTCGTGCCCCCCGGGTGCATGGCATAAGCCGATGAATGAGCCTCCTCTAAGATGGACTTTCGGAGCTCATCATCTGACGGTACACACACTCGGTCACGAAATAACAAGAGACCATCATCTCTTTCCCTGAAATCCTCCACCGGCCCCGCTTGCATGCGTTCCCGGACCTTCATAAGTTCTTCGTCGGCTTCCTGACCCTTCTTGATCTCATCAAGTAAAGTGGGTCTCACCTCAAATCGTGCCAATAAGGCACCATCGCTGGTTACCTCCAGTTGGGCTCTTAATGCCCTCAAATTAGTTATCAATGCCCCAGACGAGCTCTTCCGGCTCAAAGCATCTGCCACCACGTTTGCCTTGCCTGGGTGATACTCTATCACCAGATGGTAGTCTTTTATCAGCTCCATCCACCGTCTCTGTCTCATGTTTAGCTCTTTCTGAGTAAACACGTACTTCAAGCTCTTGTGATCAGTGTATATGTGACATGTCTCCCCGTAGAGATAATGTCTCCATATCTTCAGTGCAAATACCACTGCCCCGAGCTCCAAATCATGAGTAGGATAATTCACCTCATGCTTCTTCAATTGTCGTGAAGCATAGGCGATTACCCTCCCATTCTGCATCAGTACACATCCGAGCCCTTGAATGCTCGCATCGCTATAGACATCGTACCCCACACCTTGTTTGGGTAATGCAAGTACCGGTGCCTCAGTCCATCTCTTCTTTAGTTCCATGAACCCTTTCTCACATTTGTCATCCCATACAAACTTAGCTCCTTTACGAGTGAGCTTCGTCAATGGCGATGCCAAAACAGAGAACTTTTCCACGAACTTTCTATAGTAGCCTGCCAATCCAAGGAAACTACGAATTTCCTTGACGTTCTTTGGCCTCTCCCATTCAGTGATGGCTTCTATCTTCTTGTTATCAACAGCAATCCCCGATCCCGAAACCACGTGCCCGAGGAAGCCAATCTCCTTTAGCCAAAATTCACATTTAGAAAATTTGGCATAGAGTTGCTTCTCCCGTAGTGTTTCAAGAACAAGTATCAAGTGCTCCTCATGCTCTTCTTCACTCTTTGAGTAAATCAAGATGTCATCTATGAACACAATCACGAATCGATCCAAGTATTTATGAAATACTCGGTTCATCAAGTCCATGAATGCCGCCGGGGCGTTTGTTAACCCAAACGACATAACAAGGAACTCAAAATGCCCATACCTTGTGCGGAAAGCACTCTTTGGTATGTCATCTTCCTTAATCTTCAATTGATGGTACCCCGACCTTAAGTCAATCTTCGAAAACACGGTTGCTCCTCGTAGTTGATCAAACAAGTCATCAATCCTAGGCAACGGATACCTATTCTTGATTGTGACCTTGTTCAGTTGACGATAGTCAATGCACATTCGAAGTGTCCCATCTTTCTTTTTCACAAAAAGAACCGGTGCTCCCCACGGGGAGTGGCTTGGTCTAATGAAACCGTTATCCAAAAGCTCTTGCAATTGGGTTTTTAACTCGTTAAGTTCAGCGGGTGCCATCCGGTATGGCGGTATGGAGATTGGTTTGGTACCAGGCTCGACCTCGATCACAAATTCAATCTCCCTGTCAGGTGGAAGCCCCGGTAGGTCTTTAGGGAAGACATCCGGATACTTACAAACCACCCTCACATCATCGATGTTCGTTCCCTCTTTGGTTTTGTCAACCACGTATGCTAGATATGCGTGGCATCCCTTCCTCATCATATTTCTCGCTCTCACGGCGGATATGATACAACTATTTGATTTGCCGCGGTCCCCCTCGAAGCGTAGGGTGTCCCCATGCGTGCCTTCGAGTTCCAACACCTTTGTGTAGCAATCTACCCTAGCATGATGCTTTTCTAGCCAATCCATCCCTAGGATTGCATCGAACTCCATCATACTCAGCGGTACGAAATCACACGTCAAGGTTTGGCCACCGATTTCCACCATACAAGATGGATAGTAATTGTTTCTTTCAACGTCTTCCCCTAGTGGGGTTGATACCACTAAGGTTTGTGTCATTGGTATTGATTGCATCTCTAAGCTCTCGGCAAACGCCTCACTCACGAATGAACGTTGCGCTCCGGTATCGATAAGGATTCGTGCATCCTTCCCGTTAATCTTTAGTGTCCCTACATTCATGAACCATGTAAGACACCTTTTTTAATGGTTTAGGACACTTTTTGGAGGTTAATAGGTTCATATAGATGTTCGGAATCAAACGGGGGTCCAATCGTAGAAGAACGAGAGGAAAAACTTAGGTTTCGAGCGGCTGGGGTCCACGCACGGTCGTGCGTGGGACACGCACGGTCGTGCGTGCGTGAAGAAGCGTCGAATCCGACCACTGCCGGTTACGCACGATCGTGCGTACCCGGCCACGCACGATCGTGCGTCCACGCACGGCGTGCGTACCGGCACGCACGGTCGTGCGTCCTGCGCGAAATTCACCTGGAACCACTGTCCCCTACGCACGATCGTGCGTGGGGTTGGACGCACGATCGTGCGTCCCTGTTTTTGGTCAGTTTTGGCCCGAATTTCGCCGTTTGACCCCGAAATGGCTCGCACTCAATCCCTATGACTTATGTCATCAATTTATGGATTAAATATGGACAAAATACAATTGTGCAAGAGGCAATACCTGCAACCGAGTCCGGGTTAGATCGAGCATCCGCCTCCGTCATCGCATAAACTCTAGCTTGAGTTCTTCCTTGATTCACGGATGGCGCGTTGCTCGTACTCGCTCCCCCATGTCCCCGGCTCGCTTGAGAAGCTCCGGTTTGATTCCGTGTACCCGTCGGACCGCTACTCGGCCCCGATGTCCTTGCCCCACTCAATTGTGGGCAATGTGCCTTCAAATGCCCGGCATCCCCGCATTGAAAACATCTAGGGGGGTCGCGACATTTACCGGAGTGGTTCTTCTTGCAATTGTTGCAACGAGCTACCACTGAGGTTTGTGACCTCGCGCCTTGCCCACTCGGGCCTTGGTTCCCCCTATATGGTGGCGGTGGTGCCCGGAAAGATCCTCCTCCGTGGTTCCCCTTTTTGTTGGAACCTTGGGAGCCATGACTCTCCCACTTTCTCTTTTTCGCCTCCTCGGCGTCTCTCTTCTTCCTTTCTTCCCATTGCTTCTCTCCTTTCAACCCTTGGTCAACCACTTGGGCAAACGTCATGTTAGGCAATTGTGTTGCCCTGTCACGTATCTCCAAGTCTAGAGCATCCCAGAAGTGGTTCACCATCCGGTTCTCGTCACAAGCATACTCAGGTATGTAATCGGCAAGATCCCTGAACTTGTACTCAAGTTCCCTCACCGTCATGTTACCCCCTTGGGTTAGAAGGGTGTATTCCCTCACTTTCTTGTTCACCTCAAAATCCGAGTAATATTGGGCAAAGAATTCCTGTCGGAAATTCTCCCAAGTGACGGTCTCGCCATATTTGCCTTTGGTCCCATCCCACCACTTGGATGCCATACCTTCAAGCAATCTCACCGCAACCCTTAGTTTATATTCGGGGGTGAGTTGCATGTCCAGGGCTGCCTCATTCAGCCGCTTAATCCATTGTGCCGAAACGGAGATGTCACCCGTCCCATCGAACGGTTTGCACCCCAAGTCTCGTGCCTCTTTGATGTATTTGGAGATCCTTATGATTGGACCTCCATCACCCCGACCCCCATGTGGTTCAATGTGGGCCCTAGAGTCGCCATGGCTTCTCCCTCTTGAAGCCCCGCCCGAAGGTTGCCCAGCCCGGCGCCTTCGGCGTTCCCTCCTCTCCTCACGCTCACGGTGGTACTGTTGAAGTAGTGCTTCAATCCGTGCTAAGGAGCCATTTTCCTCCTCATCACTTACATCATCATCATCCCCTTCATAAGGGGTCTCAACCGGTTCAGTTTCCGGTCGATAGGTCGAGTCCTCATAGGACCAGTAGGTTTCACTTTCCGTGTCGACATGACCGTCACTCACGGTCTGTGATTGGCCTCCACGGCCAGCTCCTCTAGATGCCCTAGAGGTCCTTCGACTGCCCTGTCCAGTCTCCACTGGTACACGACCCGTCGGGTTTCTCCTAGTAATCCTGCCACCACGGTCCATTTCTGAAAGAAATTTGGAAGGAGTCGTTAGACTCGTATCAAATGTCAATTGACGGATAGGTACTTAAGACACATTTTGGCTCGAGTCACCGCCATACCAATTGCTAAGGGTACCATCTTAACAATTAGAGACCTTGCAACCCAAGTGCCAAAAGCTCTCCAAGTACAAAACTTCCATGCTCATGGTTTTCAAAATCTTTTCAAAAAGAGAATTTTGAGACTTCATTATGAAGTTTATGGACTAAGGCTCTGATACCAACTTAATTGTCACGCCCCGGACCTCCCCGGACACGTCAACAACCCGCCGTACGATACGAATAGTCAACCGCAGTCCAACACATTCATATTATACAAGGCGTCATGAATATCATTCACACATAAGTCATCCATAAACATACATAATAAACAATTGAATACGCAGCGGAAAACATTGTTTAAAACAAAAGGGCCACACAGGGCAAACATGAGCACGCAGGCTCTAAAGTAAATATCCATGAGCAAGTTTAATATTATTTAAAAACAGAATGGAGGAAGCACGAACCAAGTCTTCTCTCCAAGGAATCACTCGATCAACGAGCACAGGAAGCAAGCTCTAGCCTCAACCTGAAATGGTGGTGGGACGCCCCCGAAGGGGTCAGTACTCTATACGGCTATAAAGTACTGGTGTGGCAGGCATCTAATAGATATACAACAAGTATTTCAAACACAAGACCCTCAAGTAGGGTGATAGTACATTATGATTGTAACCCTAAGTTACCCCGTTTAAAAATATACTTACTTTATATAAAAGTCAAGTAGTCGGCCCGTGGGCCCGTTTTCATTTGGAAATCACCATTCCCAACCCCGTGACTATAAGCCACGACAACTCCTAGAGTCCAACCCTAGTACATGACATTGTATTCTAGAGCTCGGCTCTACCACATCACCATACAATTCATATACCTCGGGTCAATTTCCCTACCTTGCGTTCTAGAGCTCGGCTCTATCACATCACCACGCAAGTCCTAGAGCTCGGCTCTAGCTATACAATACATAGACTCCAAGTCTACACCTTACATGCATTCTAGAGCTCGGCTCTATCACATCACCATGCATTAAGGTCCAATTCTCAAGCAACCCTATGCCTAGAATTGACATATCATTAAACTACCATGGGTCATCCTTAAAGACTCCCCATAACTTAACCTTAGTTCCATACTAAGTTATCATATACACTTGAACTACATTCAAGTACCTTTCATACAATCCAATCCCTAGGATCAATTTAATCAACAAGTTCCAATAATCACTAACTAGTATTCCAATACTATTAAGATTATTGTTATCGTACCATTATCCTCATTGTTTGTAATTCTCTACATATTTATAATTATGTAGCAGCAACTTAAGTATTCAATCTCAATACACAAATATTCATTTATGTATCCACATGATTCATACATGAGCAAAATGCCCATTTTCACAAAATAGTTCATTTATACTCATTTAATCTCATATTATTCATACTTTCTCAAATCATTCCAAATTCATTCTTTGGCAACTATATCAATATTTCATCAATATATAGTCATCATAATCCATGAAAAATCATGATTTAAGCATTTAGGTAATCTCATGCTTAACCTACAAGTTGTAAGCAATTAGATGTCAATCCTCACCTCAATTGAGCTTTAAACTTTCCCTTCTTGGTCCAATGGTCAAATCTTTGGTCAAGGTGGATTTGGGACTGATTCCTTGCTCAAATATGAGTGTTAAACAGCCTCCTCAAAGTGCTAGTTCAACCCTTAATCGTTGATACGAAAACAGCCCCTAGAACGGGTGTTTTCCGGCTAACTCGATTCCTAGTTTTCCAATATTTGCATCTAGGTTAGTATCTAACCTTTACATCAATAAGATAACTTTTTAGGGACATATTATACACTTGGATTAGTGTATAATAGTCTCACCAATCGTTCATATCATTTGGAGAATGAAAAGTAAAGCTTTGGGGTTAAAACTCACTTTAGAAGATTAAATCCTCTCCTGCGAGGTTGTGTTTTGCTCGGACGATTTGGAAGCCTTCCACAACTCCGATTCCTGCAAACCAGACCTTCACGGATTCCTCGTCTTGAGATCTTTCTGTGGGTATCTCACACGCCTTAATTGGACTTGTAAAACTCGAGATATCGACCAAACAGTCTCAGCACTCTCACAGCTCGAGTTCACAGACCTTTGCTCGTTCCAGCTCGATTTTTGCAAGATAAGCCTTCTCTCCTCGAACAAAGACCACTCAATTGAGATAATAGACTTCAAAGGCTATCCAAGGACACCTCATACACGTTATTTGGTTGAGGATAGCTCCTATAATGAGAGGAGACAAACAGCACACCAATTTGTGCGAAAATAAGAGTGGTGGCCCCAAACTTTGATTCTTATCAAGTCATGTGCAGCTCTTCTCCATAATGGCCGGCCAAGGTAAGTCTCCTAACCCATTTTTATTTGTTTTGCAGGTACTAATACCATGTGGAGTGGTTCCCAATTGATCCCATTAAATTTGGGGTCCAAAATATCTACCAATACTTCCAAAAAATGGGAAGATGGGTCCTATTGTTTTATCTTTGTCAAAGATGTCTTTTTGTACTCATCCTAATTTATTTAGAACAAGTCAACTTCCTAAATCACATTATTGATCTCCAATATGTGTAGGCTCATCCCAATAATTTACACGATGAAAATTACAAAAGAATGCGGGTTTGAACAATACAATATTCAATCATGTACTTCGTAAAATATTAATCGTTTCTCCCATTGTTTTGAAATTGGAAATTCAATACATCACTTTTGAATTTTTAAATCGAATTTTCAAGGACGTTCGGGTGCGGTGTCACAGATAAATCATTGGAGTTTAACAGCCTGATACAATAAAATCAGTTAATACATGCAAGCATTAATAGACCAATACACTTCATTGATTGAACATACTTATCAAACAGACTGAACAATGAAATGAATGAATGAAGTATAACAGACTTATACAATGAAATCAGTTCATAGATTCATGGCTTAACAAACTAGTATACTTCATTCATTTAACATACTTATCATACAGACTGATAAATCATTGAAGTATAATAGGCTTATACAAAAAAAAAGGTTCATACATTCAAGCATTAACAGACCAATATACTTCTTTGACTGAACATACTTCTCATACAGAATGAACAATGAATGAAATATAACAGACTTATACAATGAAATCAGTTCATAGATTCAAGGCTTAACAAACTATTATAGTTCATTCATTTCACATACTTATTATACAGACTGAACATAGTAAAAATACAACTGAGTATGTTATTATACAGAATGGTATCAATGAAATGGAGTGACTAGTAAAGAATGCCTTCTATTTCGTAAAAGTAGTTTACAAAAGTAGAAAATATTTAAAATAAAAAAGTTTAATGAAGAGAAGAGACTGGTAAGCCGATATATTTTAACATAAAAAATGGTTTATATATAAAATAACCATTTTTACCATAAATTTTAGTTTATTTATAAAATAACCAGTAAACCATTTTTTTACAGAATACTTTCTATTTCGTAAAAAGAGTTAAGGAAAGAATGGAAATATTTTAAAATTTTACATATTGAAAATAAAATAGTTTAATGCCAATATATTTTCACATAATATATGCGTTTCATATAAAATAACCAATTTTATAGAAAGGTTATGAACTGATAAAGAGTTCATAAGGAATACCTTCTATTTCGTATAAAGAGTTCATTCAAGAATAGAAAATTTATAAAAATATACGAAATAAATGTAGATATGACCTGAGAAGATGACAAAGCGGTTTCAGAAACAAGATTGAGTGGCGGCGTCAGCATCCTGAAGTAGATTGAGCGGTGGCGTCACCGTCCCTGAGTTATTTGAGCGGCGGCGTTCGAGTAGGTAAAGGAAGGATGAGAGTAGAGTTGGAGAAGGAAGAGATCGAGTAGGGTTAGGGTTTCAGGGAGGTAAATGGGCTTAGGGGTTTAGTGAATGCGGGTGAAAATGTTGAAGTACGGATTAAATATTTTTTGCTTTGGCGCGTAAATTGTGAAGGACTGTCCGAGACTCCTCTGTATCCAGACTCTTCGCTAAGACGGTTCGGTGTTGGCTCGGGAAAAAATTGAGC